AACAATTTTTTTTAGATCTAAATCGGATATATTTGTTTTATCAAACACTAACATTTCGGCTCTTTACAGATAAATGGTCATGGTCACGGTTGACACTTGTTCCCTATCAAAGAGTTGCTTGTTATGTGGTTATTACTTGTCTAAAGAATTGTGTATCAAGTTAACACAATCAAGGAGTGGAAATCAAATAAATAGTTTCAAAATCGGTCACGTACTTTTATAAGATAACCTAATAGATACTTCTATGGTGATTAAAATATGATATTTAAAATACTTAAGAGACAATCTCGTTTTAATTAACAATGCCAGTATTATAAGACAGAATTCCAAATTACGATATATATATTTGAAAAAAAAAAATGTAACTGAAAACAACGATAATAATATAGTCGAATCTGACATGTTTATTCTATGTCGTCCGCATGGCGTGTCGGTATTGAGTGGCGGGGAGTCGGGCGTCGCGCGGGGAGTCGCTCAGCCCCGGGGACCGCCTCCCGAGGGAGCGCGCTCGGGTGCTCGGGGTGCGACGGCGGGGGAAAGGTTAAAAGGGAAAAGTTATAAGACCGCTTGTTGTCAGTGATCGTTCGATATTCGAATTCGTTCTTTTGGTTATTAATTCTTTTTTTATGTATAACTTTATTTAGATTTAGATATGCTGTTGCATTTTTATGGCTACTGAATAGAATGTAGAGCTTTGTCTGAAAGTCTTACCATAAAACAATAAAAACCACAAAGTTTTGCCTAAGACAGATGTACTTGTCTTTTAATTTATTGTCTTTGTATATTTTATCTATTTAAATTGTTTTTGATCTATTTTTGAATACGAAAAAGACCCTCAAAAATGTCCGATACACATAAACAGAGTAGGGCGGGTGGCGTGAGGCGGGGCGGAGGTGTTCAAGTGTTCTGACTTGAAAGAGGGCAGCCTACCTCCACCGCGACTTAATGCCGTAGTGGATTTTTTCATCGACTAGTGCGGGTGCCACAGACTTATACACACAGTCACGTAGACTTATATCTTTACTAACCGCCTACCTACTATAAAAGCCTATGATTTTACGACCACAGAAACAATTAACGTAAATACTTAAGTATAACGTAATGTGCAGATTCGATTTATGGAATGTCGTTGATTTGCATTAGGTAATAAAAGGAATAGCCAATGACATGAATTTATTGGCATAAAATTAATACGAGATCTTTCCGTAGTAGTAAAAAAATATGTTCCAAATACCAAAATCTATTACTAATATTATAAATGCGAAAGTAACTCTTTCTGTTACATTTTCACGCGGAACCAATATTGACGTATTTTGGTATAAAGATAGATGGTACAGTCAAGAGCACGTCCAGCTTGTCACTTTGTACATTGGACAGTTCTTATTACCCTGTATAGTGTCAAGTGCACGTTAAGCTTGACACTTAAGATTTAAACACAACTCTAAGCCGCTTACAATAAGAACGATTCAAAGTTCAAAGTATCAAGCTTGATGTGCTCTTGAGTGTACCTACCTAGGTGAAAGTTTATATGGAGAACCAATAAATTATGAAAATTAGTATAGTGCAGTAGGCTACTTGAAATACTTATTTTACGCAGACAAAGTCGCGGGCACCAGCTAATTCATATATAAATACGCACGTGGAACCAATGAATGCAACTATGAAGTCTCAAGAAGAAACATTTCGACTAAACTATAAGCACCACGTGCGCTTTGTGAACTCAAACGTACCCTCACGGCTAGGAGTTCCTCGCATGGGGGATGTATTACCCCCGCGAAATTCATCCCTTCGCAGGGGTAGTCTTTACGACGAAATACTTTCCTTTCTCGGTGATGCGATAGGTAAATTTCGTATAGGTAACTTTATTGGGAAGGTTTGATTTGGTCGTTGTGTTCAGCCGACGAACTGTGAGGTTAAAGGTTTTTAGTTATGTAGGAAGACAAAGTGTCCCCTTTTGTTTGATGTGATCATGATCTTTTGACTCTATTAGTGTGGGTCGCTTTCATTTTTAACCGACTTCAAAAAAGGAGCAGGTTCTCAATTTGACAACATTATTTTCCCAAACGAAAACTCTCGCTTTCTTTCGAACATTTCTTGCGAAAATCCGTACCTAATTCATCCCCCAGTAGATATACTAAATACGCTTTTTTAACGACTTAAACTATTGTAGCTGGAGAAGCATGTTTCAATCGTTGCTTCGAGGGGACACACTGTGTATGGTATTTGAGTCGTTTATGCCCTTTAAAAAAGCGTACCTAACTCAAGATGAATTAGGTACATAGAACTTATCTTTCCTTGGGAGATATACTGTAATACGAAAAGCCATGTACGCTACCATGTATTCCAATGCAACTAAAAATGTTTCAAGTCTCCAATCCGCATTAGGCCTGCATGGTGGACCTTAACCATCTCCTTAGAGGAAAACCGTTTCTAGCAGTGGGTGCTAACACTTTTGAAACATTTAGGAGGTAGGCACAACAACTCACGAACATTTTATTGCAATCAGAAGAATAACAATGGAATGCGTACAGGACAAACAAGCATCCATACATTTTTTTTAATGCATTTTAATTAAAAATAGTATTTTTCCGATCTAAACAGTGTATATTTATCTTTTCGGATTATTTATTTAACGTTTCGGATCCTTCACAGGTCCCATGGTTACTGCTGTTACCAGTTAATTAGATCCGAAAAGTAATTTTATTTCCAATGTGTAACAATGGCGAAAAGTTAAGAATCCGATATGTTTGAATGTAAGTCATTAGCAATAGGCTTCAAGTGATTTCGAAGTTTATTATCGTAGTAAACATTAGGATGCATGCAAACGATCGTAAATCGCTTGTAGAGTCAGATAAATTAACGGCTGTCGAGACGCTTTGCCGGTGTGAACATTTATCTATAGCAAAAATGTGACTTAGAAATTAAGAATACATGTGAATGAAATTGACAAATTTTTTCTTAATGCCGATAAACATCATTTCTTATAATAATGATTTTATTATATTGGAAGAAAATAATCGACACAGAACAAATTTAACAGAATGTTATTCGTTTTGTATGAAAAAAACTTTTTATTGAATTTTACCAACGTTTGATGTCCCGATTTTTATCTGCCCATACTATGAAATCATACGTATAAGAAACTGAGTCTATTATCACAAAAAAAAGTAATTCATTGTAGTCATTTTGTATGAAAAATATTTTATGAAATTTGACGAACTTCGGCTGTCCCGATTTTTTTCGTCCCATAAATGAAATGATCCCTTCACAAAAGCCAAGTTGATTAGCACTAAAAAAATTTTTGATTAATTTTATTCATTTTTATGGACAACTCACGCTTGACCAAAAAATTGACTATGCCAAAATTGTTTTCACAAAAAAACTTAATGGAAAAAACAGTTTTCTTCTATTTTCCATGGTTTCGGATTTCCTAATAATGTCCCCGTTAAAAAAAAACACTCTGTACATGGAACCAATTTTTAAGTATCATGTGTGCCTAAGTCCCAAATCTACTAACAAAAATTACGAAAATATGTGAGCAAAATAACCCCCTAGAGTATTTTACTATATCCACCTATAGCATAACCACAGGTAATTTTTATCCAAATCGCCCACTAAGTAATAAAACCTCTGTATCCTCATACATCGTATTTAGAACCTTTTGGTCATAATTTTGCTTCTCGACAAAGAAAACGGGGTACTGATATCCAAGGATTGTCCCTGTCAGCACACCCTCGCCAATATTAATGGTGCTGCTTAAAGATGGCCAGGGGTCGAAAATTCAAAGGTCGATGAACTTTATGGCTCTCTGGAATTTATGTGGTAATAAAATATTTCACGTAGGGAACATTTGGGTCAGGTAACAAAATTGTATTATTTTTGCTCATTACAATATGACATGTAATCAGATGTTTATTATGCACATTACATTTTTTTTTCTTACGTTAGTCATAGGGCTACGCCTTACGCCTGGAATATGCGACGATTGTTATTTGTAAGTGATATGGATTTAGATTTAAGTCTTACTCTATACCAAATACGTTGAATACTCAAGATGCATACCACTCCCATGGTGATAGGCAAATAAACTTATTGGCATGGGTTCATTAAGTCATTGTGTTCAGCCGATGAGTTGTGTTTGTCGAGACTTAAGTAATTGTATTTGTCACTGTAAATCACCACTTAACAGAGTGAAGTAAATTATGTTCTTAACTTTTGGATTGGAATACCAAAATATCTGATTGAAGTCATATGCATCTCTTGTAGAACCATAAACATTTCCGTAGTCATATGACAATTTTATCGCTGCAATCATTGACCTACCAAGGTCAATAGCTGTAATGTAAAATATGTAAATTTCATTAAAGAATAATTATATCAAGTTTCCTAGAAAATCCACATTCAGGGCCAAAGCTAGGTGTCGTTTGACAGCCGGTAAACTGCTAACTCGGAATATTGTGACATAAGGTGTTTAACATAAATAATACGGGAACAGATGCGCGGTGCCGCGGGCTCCACAAATACGTTCGCGCACCTCCTCCCCGGATAGCTTTTAATGTTGGCATAGAGCGGTTATTACCACCAGCATGCTATATACAGTAAGCCATATACATCCTCCTGCTGGAAATGGATTTCCTCTTAAAGAGACACGGAAATAAAACATTTTTTTTTCGGATCTAAATCGCGCATGTATGATTTTTTGAAATAAACCAACGTTTCAGGCTCTTGTAAGCCGTGATTATAAGGCCTGTAAGAACCCGAAATCTTATTTTTTCTAAAGAACTCGAATAATATGGATACGGATTGGATGAATATAGATATTATACAGATATAGACTTTACTATTCATTCTTTAAGTGATTCCCAATCAGAAAGTTTTTGTTATGTAAGTTTTAATGCTTTATTTCAAAGTTAAAACCTTGGTTAAATACAATAACATTAACATTGTATCTACGTGATTGTATATATGTAATACATTTTTAAATGTACTGGTATTTACAGTATTTCTTGTCCGAAGCCCTTATTGCGGGTGAAATACTAGCTCTATATGAATCCATGTCAGTTGGCACAGCAATATTCGGCGTGGCATCGCCGACGCCGCGAGCTATGTAAAATATTTCTGTCCAAGCATTCATCGTGATCGCTCGCACCATCCTACGCTGAACAATCCCAACTTTATTCTGCGCTCCATCCCCACTCTAACAGTAAATGGAAAAGGTTCACATTGCAGTGTCAAAATTGTCGAGATAAAATAGTAAAGTTCAGCTATTGTGCGTAATCGGATATGTCGATAGTTGGCCCGATAGACTTTTTGCTCAAAACTGTTTGATTCCATTTCACTGTTTTGACGTTGCGTTGAAAAATTTCTTTTTCCTTCAGTTGTTTTGGCGATATTAAAAATTTATACTGTTTGAAAATCTTGCATTGTAAGATGTTTGTAGTTATAGAACTAAAGTTTTAAATCCCTTGTTTCGTAAAAAAAGTGAAAGCAATTTAGCAGTTTAAAACTTTGAAAGTGAGCAAGTCTTCACTCCATTAAGAACAAACAAAAAAGTCGTATAACTTAACACTCTTATAATGGCCACGACAGCAAAAACTGGAAGATTCTTTGGAAGGGCGGAAAGTACAAATTCCGGAACATGGGAAACAAATTACGCCTAATGACGTTCCGATGCCGAGCGTTTAAAGTGGAAACAGATGCTAGCAGTGTGAAGTGTGAAACTTGTTTTGGTCTTAGTTATGATTGAAGGGGATTTGTAAATAAAAACAAAAAACGATTTAATTAAATTTTGAGGATATGTTTTGAAGTTTGGATTTTTTCTAATTTTGACAATCTATTGTATAACACGAAGTTGGCCACATCTTTTTATATCACACATAAAACAATAAACCACTAATATATATAGCCTAGCTAAATAGCCTAGTTGGAAAAAAGGTTGTCTCATACGTTGAAGGTTTGGTATCCGCCGTGGGGCCTGGATTTCTGATATTTATTGCATGCTGTAGCGCTCAAAGAAGTAAGTATATTATTGTCAAAGTCCAGGCTGTAAGCAATTGCTGAACGAGCATGAATAAGAAGCGAGAGCATGAAAATGATCACACAGTTGCTGTTTCCATCAAGGTTTATATAGAGCTTTTCTCAATAAATGCATGGAAACTTTATAAATAACTTTACAAATATATTATGAATATATGTAACTTTTTAAAACGGAATAAAAAGAGTTAAACACAAAACAAAAGGAGCAGACTATTTGGCTAGATGGTATTTTTGCCATGGTCAAATATTTAAAATGTAGTGCCTCCTTACCTAATTCTGGCGCCAAACAGTCATCATCAGCATTACTGTGTTCCGGTTTTGAAGGGCAAGGGTGCCGGTGAAAGTAGATGCACATGGGACTTGTCAACTTATGTCTCAGAGTGACGGGCACAGCGGCACTGTCCCTCAGATCTTTGCGATTTACATCTCTGAATGGCACTGCAACTGTTATGGACAGGCGTGTAGCTTACCATCAGGCGCACGACATGTTCGCCTCGTCAGTTGGTATTAAAAAAAAAATTACTTTGCGATACAAAATATATTTTTCGTATAGTGGAAAATTAATTTTTCATTTGGGTTTCGAGGACTAGGCCGGAAAGTAATTTGTTTGTGTGGCTTCTTATTGTATCGATGGCATATACTGTAGTGCTTGCCATCGTGGTGAAAGCTTTACCAATCCGCGTAAAATACTCGCCGATAATTGCCCGGGGTACGCTGGACGTAGTACTACAAGAGTATGGAGATGTACACGAAAGAAATTTCCCGGTACCATTCCTTTCTTGCATCCCATACGTAGTGTAATATGGCAAAAATCAAACACTCTTTGCGATATCTTTGTCCAATAGAAAAGCAAACATTACGAGCACGTTGAAGAAACGTATCATATTAAATGCCTCCGTGGCTGAACGGTTACCATGCTGAACTGTCACGCATAGGTCGCGGGTTCGATTCCCGGACCAGGAGAAATATTTGTATGGCCTACATTTATTTCTCTCGTGAGTTTTGGGTGTAATTGTGGTTGTCGACGTGTGTGTCCATGGCACCCGCTATACAGGGTTTCCCTAGCCCGGGGCTATGAATGTTTGTGTTGCTTTTGTTATATGAAAAGACAAGGTGAAATTACAGCCACATGGGACTTGTCAACGTATGTCTCAGGGTGACGGGCGCAGTGGCAGTGCCCCTTAGATCTGTGCGATCTAAAGCTCTGAGTGGCACTGCAACTGTTATGGACAGACGTATCGCCTACTATTAGGCACACGGTTTCGTTCGTCCAGTTACTTAGTATTATTTTTTTTTTTGTGAAATTACTGTCCACTAATTTGTCATAATTATTAATAAGAAGACTCTAACCTGTGAAAAAACTTACATAGATTTCTCACAGATGGCATGTAGCTTAGCATCAGGTGCACAACTTGTTCGTCTCGTCACTAGATATTTAAAAAAAAGGCAAATGTCGGAGAAAGTTCACAGAACTTACTAGTTGAGGTAGCATTAGATACTCATGGAATTCAATATCGGTTCAGGATGATGAGGTAAAGTACATAACCTATTTACCAAAGTAGGTAATTAATATTACTCCCTATAATGTTTTAAGTTTTTATTTAAAAAAATTACTGTTATTTAAGGACACCTAACTTTCACAATCAACAGAAACCAACAAAGCGTTCACAAAATTGCGTCTCTGTAAATAACAGTAAACAAAATTTCAACCATCAATAACCAATCCCATAGCAATTAATACAGCCAATATAAAGCTAATAGGGAACAGTCGTCGAATATAAACTGATTTATACGTCCGCGTCACTTACGCCCCATTATCACTTCACACGCATTTACGAGCAACTTGCATACATATTTCAAACTTTTAAACGCATCCTGTATAAATAAAAACAACGTTTTTGTTTGTTCCAGATTTTTTCTCAAATTCTTTCTTAAGTGCAATCAAAATTGTTTGAAGAATGCCGGCAATCCGAGGGATATGAGAAGGTTCCAGGTAAGTTTTCGATGATATTTCTGAATCTAAATAAAAAATAATAATTTAATTAGCAATTAAACTAATGTTTATATATTGAATATCATGTTGTCATAGTAAAACATATAATAGATATCATGGATTAATTATGAATATCGTGGTAAAAAGCTCCTTGTAAAAGAGTTCGTCGAGGTAAACACTGCCAACTTACCTATTTCTGCCGCCAAGCAGTAATGTGAGCATTACTGTATTTCGGTTTTGAAGGGTAAGTGTGCTGGTAAAATTACAGGCACATGGGGCTAGTCAACTTATGTCTCAGGATGACGGGCGCGGTGGCAGTGCCTCTCAGATCTTCGCGGTTGGAAGCACTGAGTGGCACTACAACTGTTATGGACAGGACCGCTTACAATCGGGCGCACGACTTGTCCGTCCCGTCACTTCACATTATAAATAATAATAATATATAATAACGCACACATTCAACATAGCCCCGCAATAACCTTGTGTCACAGGTGCCATGAACACACATAGACAACCACAAATTACACCCAAACTCATGAGAGAAATAAATGTAGGACATACAAATATTCCTCTGGCCCGGGAATCGAACCTGGGACCTCTGCGTGGCAGTCCGGCATGGGAACCGTTCGGTCACAGAGGCAGGCTACAAAAGCTCAGAACACTGCAACTGCCATTTTTTTATAGACAAGCGTGTCCCTTAACACCAAATTTGTTCGTCCTCACTTGGTATCATAAAAAAAAGTATTTTTTCTGAGAATACTGCCATTAGTTTGTTATTAATGATACAAAGACCGAATAGCATGAAGTAAAACTCCTTCGATCTGACTGTACCTACTCGAACCAATGTCTGTTGCTATGCCGGGGCCACCGCACTTAGCCAGTTAGCTAATGTTCGTATTTTCTTAAGACTGTATTTCCATCCGTAATCAAAAAAATCTCCTTTTACGTTTCTGCATTTCCGCGTTCCACTGCTGACAGGTATACTGTTCTGTGTACTAGAGTAGACGAAAAATTGCCGACCTCGGTACACGAGTCTGTCTGTGTCGTCATCGGGTTGTAGATCAAGTTATAAGATGTAGAGTTTGACTATTTTTCTTTTAATAATATTATATTATTTTATGATACCACACTACGGAATTTTTTTAAATAATAAAAGTTATGATATATGCAACTCTATTGATCTAAATCAATGTTTATGAATCATGATATATTAACAATCGAATCGGTAACTGTAAATAATGTTTGATTTACTAATTTAATGTCGATAACTTTCTTCCTAAACAGCAGCTCATGTAGTTGCGTTTCTGCTAAATAATAGGGGTTAAAGTATGAAATTTCCGATTTGTACTGAAAATCTAAATTGTTTATTTTTTAAATTTTTAACAAATTTATTTAATCAAAATAGTTGCCATTATTATCTATACATTGCTGCCATCTAATGGGAAGGTTATTAATGCCTTTGCGATAGAACTCCGACGATCTAGACTAAACAAACTGTGTGAAAGCATTTTGTACTGCCTCCTGGGAAGAAAACTTCTTGTCACGTAGATAATTGTCCAAATCACGAAAAAAATGGTAGTCCGTTGGAGCAAGGTCTGGTGAATACGGAGGATGACGAATGGTTTCTAACTGCAGTTCCTGAAGGGTCAAAATGGTTTCTCGTGCTGTGTGAGGTCTTGCGTTGTCGTGGAGCAATAATGGTGAAGATCGATTCATGAGTCGGGGCTGTTTTACTGCTAGTTTTGTCAACATGGTTCGGAGTTCGGCACAATAGACATCTGCCGTTATTGCTTGACCAGATCGGATAAAACTATAGTGAATAACACCATGCTGAGACCACCAAACAGTTACCATTACCTTTTTATTGGTAAGTTTTGCTTTAGGACACTGTTGTGGCATTTGACCTGGGGTCAGCCATTGGATTTTTCTTTTCCGGTTATCATAAAGAATCCACTTTTCATCACATGTTACAATTCGATCCAATATTCCTTCATTTCTGTACCGGTTCAACAAGGCAACACAAGTTTCAACACGCGTTTCTTTCTGCAGATCAGTCAAATCATGAGGCACCCATTTTTCGTATTTTTTTATTTTATTGATTTGACGCAAGTGAGTCAATATTGTGGGTAAGGTAACGTTAAACCATACCGCTAATTCCTGGGTAGTTTGACTAGGATCGGCTTCCACTATCTCTCTTAATTCATCGTTATTCACCTGTGTGGGCGGTCTTCCTCGTGGCTCGTTCTTTAAGTCGAAATTTCCATCACGAAAGCGTTTAAACCAAAATCGCACGGTGCGTTCATTAGTAGACCCCTCTCCAAACGCAGCATTGATATTGCGGACTGTTTCTGCCGCGTTAGTTCCGCGTCGGAACTCGTATTCAAAAATCACTCGAATTTTCGCAGTATCCATCTTTCTTGTCTAAATTGAATAACAAAAACAATTGAAAGTCGATATTCAAATGTTTCAAATTTAAAAAAAAAAAATCACAGAAACCATTTGAAAAAAGTTTCATTCGAAAACCTCAAACCATGAAGATTCTATGAAAATTCAAAGAACCTATTGCAATAAAACGGCAATTTCATACTTTAACCCCTAATATAATTCTGAATGTTTGGAAAATTAGTAATTCTCATACTAATTAAACCTTTAGTAAAATTAAATCTGGACATCAAATAACTTTTGTTAATCTACGTAGTATTAGCAGTAGAGCTCCTTATGAAAGGATTCATCCAAGGTAATAATGCCACCTTACCTATTTCTACCGTCAAGCAGTAATGCAAGCATTACTGCGTTCAGGTTTAGAATGGTAAGGGTACTTGTGAAATTATAGGCACATGGGACTTTTCAACTTATGTCTCAGGGTGATGGGCGCAGTGACGGTGCGCTTTGAGGTCCGGTGCTCTTTAAGCAGCACCGTAACTGTTATGGACTGGCGTGAAGCTTACCACCAGGCGCATGACTTGTTGGTTCCGTCGCTTCGTATCATAAAAAAAGAATACTAACCCTGCATGGGTTAGTATTCTTTTTTTATGATTACAAGTTAAAATAAATAAGATACTTATTAAAACTGCAAATACGAACGCTATGTAAATGTTTTCTTTTTTTTTGTAACAAATAAGCCTGACACTTATATACAATACATTCAGATATGACTCTGTTTATAATTACGCAATTTTAATTCAATTTTCTAAAACGCTATTTCCTGTCACTTACCTCATTCCGTCTGGTGTATCACCCTTAACTGAAGGAAGGGTTGCGTTCACGACTCTTGAATATTTGAAGCGCCTCCAATTTAGGGGAGGGATGAAATTAAATTTATTTATACGAGTTTATTTATTTACTTTCATCCGAACTATTCTTGCTCTGCTTTTTATTTAAAATTCAAAATAAATTTGTTGCCCTTTTGATTGAATTATATAATATAATAAAGACAAGATAAAATTCGTCAGAAAAAAGATTATAGAAAATTCTAGTTTTCTGTTCTAAGTGTGGTTTTCGTGTGGTATTCCTTGCGTCAAAACAAATTTTGAAGACTCTTTGTACTGATATATTCAATGTGTAATTAATTGCTTATATTATTACCGTGACTCATAAATTTAAACCAAGGATGTTTTGTTTGGTACTATGTAAAATTTTAGGCTTTACGTGACAGTAAATTGTTCACTTAATTCATACTTTAAAACAAAATAATGGCTTTTATGTACAAACACAATACACAGTAACTAATTAACGGCAGCCCTAATACAAGCTGAAAGTTGCATTCACACTCAACTTATGAGTACAAATTTACTTCCACAGTTGGCTAAGACATATTTGTCTTACGTGTTCTCTTGCCCGATCCACTCCAATATAGTACTTATTGTAATATACATATTGCCGACTTACGTGCGCACTAAGTGAATGTCAACATATGCGTGTAGTTATGTCTATATTTGGGCTTTCTGTGTGTCATTGAATAATTCAGTGGTCGCTTCCTAGCGTTCAAGGGTAAGAAAATATAGGTACAATATAAGTTTGTATTTATAGGTGGAGGAATCGAAATAGTGCATTCTCTATCGAATACTGTTTCGTGTGCATTTTGAGATGCCGTTCCCTTTACTGAACTATTCTTGTATAAGCGTATTTGAGTTTTCGCCAGGAAAGCTATTTTCAAAAATTCGTTTGAGAAATCTTGTAAATTGTATTTATACTTTGTAATATATAGTTTATTTAGATTCAATAGTTATTTTATAATAGTTATTATATTACTTGCTCTGCAAATAAAAATTCAATTCTTGTTACCAAAACGAAAAAAATATTTTAGAAAAATGGCAAAACAGAATGACACACAAATCCTTAAAAGCCACCCCCTAAAACGTAAGTACAGTTCTTTAAAAAAACGATCGCTCGCCCGCCTATCACACGGCCACCCACATCACTTACTCCATCACACATACGCACACACAATGCACTTCCTTGCATACCTATTGGAAGAGTTTCGTCCATTTCGGTCCCGAGACATTGGCTCCACCTCCCAAGGGACTCTCCCTTTCGATACTGTCAATGTGTGTGTCGGAATGCGGGAGTCAGTGTGAAATATAGGCGCGCGTAGCCGTAGAATAGAGGGTTTTATTTTTGGTGAGCGTACTTTGAAGCGTAGTCGATGATCTTGAACTTGGAGGGCTGTAAACAAAGCGACGCCATGAATTTTGGGTGACAGTTTCGGTTGGCTCAGGTCTCTTTCATTGCATATTTATAAGATTATTTCTGAATTTGGTAACAAGATTTTTTCTCTAGGTACCATGAGATTACAGAGATAGTGAAAATATGTTTATACAAAAAGTTTTATCTCCTTGTGATAGATAAAGGCTACATAAAATTTGCCATACTAGATGTGAAATAATTAAACCAGTCGCAAGCGCCAAACGTCTCCCAGTTCATTATAGAGGCTCAGTCTTCGTAGAATAAATTTAAAATAACATGAGCCACTCAATACTGTCGAAATTTTGTATTTGTTTTACTTTTTGTATATCACCTTTTATATGAGTAACAAAGATATATTCTTTTATGTCAACTCTCTTTTCTCTCAGGTGGTGATATCAACACAAGTAATGGTAGACGGTCCACTCCTCGCAATATCGGACAATATGTTCGTCCACAATAACAGCAAGCACGGCCGGCGCGCGAAGCGGTTAGACCCCACTGAAGGTATTGAAGCCGCTTCAGAGCCCACCTGTACGTTTGTTTTATTTTTTATTATTTTTATGATTTGTACGATTCGTACACATTCACCAGTAACTACATGCAATCATACAAATAAAAATGATAAACTACATTGAAATGTAGATTAAAGTTGTATTGTTTATTCCCTAAATGATTATCACTAATTGCAGGTTTGTTACCTTTTTTGTTATCTTTGTTATGACATTTTTATTTTCACGATATTTCAGAATGGTTACATGTTCCACGGTTTGACCATGGCTCTTAAAATACCTCATACCGTGGTAAGAAACCTGTATAATCAACATTGTAACGTTTGTTGTTTACTTAATAGATACTTTGCTTTTACCTGAACGGTAAAAAGAACCTTTATAATTAGAACTCATCTTCAACAAATCTTGACCTACGCGTATTTTAACAAATATTTTTCGATACATTTTTGTTTGACTAAACTAAAATTATTTGTAAACAAGTAAGCTTCTCGTATAAAATATCTCTTGAGAAATAGGCACCTTATGTGATTTAGAATTTTAATAACTCGTACATAACAGGTTGTAATAGAACATTAATGAGAAGTATTTGTGATAACAATTTTGGTTGATGACTGTACCACCTCAGTCAACCGTGACCATGGGACCTTTAAGGGCCCGAAACGTCGGTTTGTTTGAAAAAACAAATATACGCGATTTAAATCCGGAAAAATAGTTTCATTTCCGAAAACAATTTTGTTTAACTTATTTTTCTAATATTACCAAACGCAATATTCAAAACCGATCGTTATCAGTAAAATTTCTACAGCAGTCGATCGTAAAGGAATGTGCAGAAGTCATAATAATGGTACTTTGAAGACGTCGTTTGTATGCGTGGAATCACTGTAGACATTTCGCAAAGAACTTCTGCCGGGGTGCGATGCAGAGGGTTGAAATGGTGGATAATTTAGTGAGGAATTATGCTTGGTGTGAATTTTTTGGCATTTTTGTACCCAGTTTCATTGTACCATTATAGAAATACAGTACTTGTGCAACAAACAAATGTATCCTTATGTAGACTCACGGCGCGACACATGTTTGTTAACCGACTTCAAAAAAAGAGGAGGTTTTCAATTCAACTGAATTTTTTTGTGGGTACTCCGACAATTCTGACTAGGTTTTGATGATTCTTTTTTGTTCGAAAAGGAATTCCTTCAATAGTAGTGGTCCCATTCAAATTTCAAAAAATATTCCTCCTTTAAGCATGGGAAATTAGGGGTTTGGATTTCCAACCTACTTTCCGTTAACCGATTTCAATAAAACTTGGCCAATTGGTGTAATTCCACAAACTCTTGAGGTCGTTTTTTTTTAATAAAAAAGTTATAATTATTCCATTATTTCTTTTGTTTGCTTTTGAAAATGTTTGATTTATTCTTTCAACAAGTTTTTTTGTTCAATGCAGTTACATAAATCGAGTTCTTAGGTTTTCGCGATTGTTACACATAGGAAATGAAACTATTTTTCCGGATTTAGATTGCGTACA